TAATAGTGCATCAATAGAAGCTGTGAAATTGATTAATGTGCCCAATGATTCGTGAAGATGGGCACCAACACAAAAATCCAGATTGCTTAGAAATTTCATATTACCGTAGTTCCTTTGGTGTAAGCCCACATTCCCTTAAACATGAAACTAGACAATTTTTTGTGGGCTAAGCTTATAACCAAGAATCCTGTTTACAAAAAAAAATGTATTCCCTATAAAAAAATATATGTTTATCATCCTATCTAGGCTGGAAAAGTGATCCAAATGACTACAATTATTAACAGACGATGGGGAAAACCTAGTAAGCGTAAAATCAAACCATCTAAAATTGCACCACATCGTACAACCAAAACACCTGTCAGGTCGTGTACATAACCTACGGCATTTATAATACTTAATTCAATCATATCATAGATGTGTATAAGAGACAGTTATTGGGCCTTATAGTGGCCAATCATAAGGCAAATTTCCCATAATAAATGACCATTTCAAAGCTAATCTTTGTTGTTTTTTTTTTTCGAAAGTACACTGAGTTGATCATACCAATAATACCCTGGGCTTTTGCTTGAGACATGTTTGTACTTAAAATGAGATGTAAAGTAGGAGGTGGGCGTTTACTTGAGGTGGGCTTATTTTTGAGGGTCCCTAATGATCAGCTTCTGCTGGATGAATTACCCTCATTAAATATGGTTCAAATAAATAAATGAGGAACTTCAGTATATTCAGTTCAAATTCAAATAAATTTATTTCTCAAAGATAACGAAGTATTTACAACAGAATAATTACAGATTATTTCTGAGAAAAGGGAACCCCAATGTAAGCAAAGCTTTTAATGTGTGGTCAAACTAAAAAATATAAGTATAAAAGTGAAACAGAAAGTATATTTTTATGACATATAGGTATTAATAATATCAATCACTAACCAACTTAAATCTTTCACAGTACATGACGTTAATTTGAAACTTTTTTTTGTTTGTTATTTCTTGTGTTCACATTGTTATATTCAGCCATAAAATTTAACCCCGTAGTGGGATAAATAAGGCCCGCTTGTATCCTAGTAAAGTATTAAGCGTAAATCTTCTTTCCCTCAGATATGATTTGGGATGTTTATGTACCATGCAACTTGAGTAGAAATAAAGATAAAGTTTTCAAATTCAAATATTTTAATCATTTATTAGCTTTTTTAATAAAATCTGCCTCTTAAATTTGTTGAAAATATTATTGTTGTTATCTCTATCGTACTATCACTCCTGGCACTTACATAGTGCATTTCTTATTGTTATTATAGAGACATTCTCAACCAACAACAGTTCTTTGCAGAACTTATGTGGTGTATTACTTCGCCATGCAAACTTTCAGACAATATTTCTTATTGTTATTGTTGATATTTATGTTAATAGTGTACAATAAAGTTAATTGCAAGACCATCAAAATTTGTGATGTAAAATTGTGGGAGTTCCCCTTTGAGGTATGCTTGAAAGACCTGGGAATTTAGGAATGCATAGTATCGGTTATAGATTACTTCCCAGTTAAATTATCTAAATTCCAGCTCAGATATGTCACCAATTAGATAAATTAATTCCAAATAATTGTCTTTGGAAGTAAGTTAATTAAGTAATTAATCTGGCTATGATGTGGTTTGCTGTATCTTCTCTTTGTTCAGAATGCGTCTGATATAAGCATGTGTTTACTTTAGTTTACGTATTGATCACGTGTAGAGTGCATTAAGTGTGTTCACCTTGTAGTGTGACGTACAGACTAAAACAATGCAAGCATCGAGATGTTATAAGGAGGTTATTCACATTTGCAACAGTCGCAGAATTCGGAATGTACGTTCGGATAATTAGAATGTTAGGCCAATAGAGCAGCTTAGCTAAGTCTGTTAAAATGGTGGTAGCCACGGTGTGTTCACTGAACTGTAGACCGCTAATGATTTCCAAATTCCACTCTTGTGCAACACAACATTCTTACAACCAGAAAAATGATGTCTTATACTGCAATGGTTCTTAAACTAGGGGTTGCAAAAACCCAAACTTGGGTCGCCAAATAATTTAGAGGTTCGCAAGACTCTTGGACTTTTAAATTGAATCAAGATATAATTTGGTTGTAGCAAGGAGAGCACATTATAAAGTAATATTTAAACATATTACTTAACCAGAAAGTGGGTCGCGACAAAATTGTTTTAGGTCGTAGGCCATAAATTTAGAGAACAATTTCTGTTGTATCCCTTGGCAGTTTATTATTATAAGTATCAGAGTTGGAATGTTTAGTTTGTAAATGAACATAAAAATTATCGAGGAAATTATATATTTCTAGGTCAGTAGAAGAGCATATTTTAAAGTTATATAGGAAATATTAAGTTTATTTTGGTACACTAATATTTCCTTTTTACTGGATAACAAGTCTTCCCGTTAACACTTCCAATAGCCTATTAATATTGACCCCAAAACTACAGTGCAAATTTTTGTAATACTGTGTTTTCATTAGCAATTGTTTGTGATCATTTGTGTGTGTGTGTGTGTGTATTTTATGTTAAGGAAACCTGTGTTGTTGATGATGATAATTCTTGAACCTACCATGATTTGTGCATGTGCTTAAATTCTTCCTCACATTCTCAAGAACTACAAACTCTTGTAGAAAATAAAAAATTGCAAATAAAAATCTAAACATTGTTTAAAGTTTTTATTTATGATTTTCTATCTCTTTAAACAAGAGGCAATACATATTCCCGGTTGATATAATACAGCATTTGCATATTCTTCAATTGAACTACTGCTAGGCTGAACTGAACTGTGAAACTGTTGTTCGCTTTCCCATGCGTTGTTGGATAAGATCAGTGACAAGTGGTCGACTATCCTGACAACCAATTAGAAACAACAAAAAAGAGAGGCTTTCCCAAATTATTTTGATTGACAGGAAACATAAGTGGAACTCTCGTAGAAATGAGTCAACTAATTAGTTTAACAATTCGAGGTTCAGACAAATATGATTTCACACGTAGTTTGCCTGAGTCTTTACTCGGTTAACTTGAGATGTTGTTCATGACATGTTGGTTGGGGTGTGTCTGTTGTGGGAGAATAGCCTTCCGGAAGCTCAGGAGTTCTATCTACTTTATTCATCAACAATTGCATAATTCATAGTCATAAGGGGAAAAACACAGAAAATTAATAATTTTGGTTAAAAATAGTGGCTTCAATTTTGCTTTTAAATTCTCCAAATGTTTTTGCATTTAAGATTCAGATTCAAGATTCAAAATAACTTTATTGCAAACTTAAGGAAAATTTGAAATGTACAGAATAATTAATAGTAATAGTCAAATATATATGAAACCTTTAAAATACTCAAACACTCTTCTTAACAATAAAGTACAATAAAATAATAATAATAATAATAATGTAATAATAATAAATAATAATAATAATAATAATTTAAAGTGATAATATTAAGAAATGTTTAAAAAACTCCATAAACACACAACATAACATTAAATACAATAGAGAACAATACAATGGCATAATAAAGGATTTATTTGCGAGCATCATCAGGAAAGTAAGTAATACATTGATGAATGACAGTATTCTACTTTTTTGTTTTGTAATTATGTTTGTTTGCATCTGAAAATAAAAATTTGTAAAAGACATTGCAATTTCATGGTCTGACATGTAGGCCTATAAATTATACATCCTGTAAAAAATAATATATATATATATATATAATAGATCCAACAATTTCTTATTGACCATGCTATGATTGAAAATATGTTGTACAAACATTTTTTGTGATATTAAGAATTTTGATTGTTTGAGTTTCTACGAAATAATAAGGAGGAGAGTATATAGAAAAGCCGAAAGTATGCTGATTGCATCATCTGAAAAAATGACGTTATACGCTATGTCTGAACTCTCGAGACTAAAGGCCGCTAAAGTGTTACATGACAGCCCATGAACTCCAACCTACATGAATGAAGAAACTTAAAAAGAGAAATTGGATTATTTTGTTCACCTGTCATTTAAATTACTGTAGTATAACAATTTCTATACTGATATTTCACGTATCGTTATTTGCGAGGATACGTGTTGCTACTTCTGTTGTTGTTGTTGTCTTTTTGCCTCTTTTCAATCTTCGAGGAAAATGGTTGTGGCATTAACCACGAAAATTACTTGAAACTTGAACTTTGCAACAAGAAATGAAATGTAGAGTAATGGCATAAGTGAAAATATATTTGAATATAGCTAGGTATCCATACAATCTACATACTATCGCCAACAGCTTTCGGTGAGGCTGATTAGGCGGTCAAATTGGGATGGTGGGGGGGGGGGAGGTCTTCCCGATTGCATTGGGGAATTCTAAGAAGTACAACAATTTCATGGAAAACACTGTAGCGACAGAGTGTAGCAATTTTATGGAAACCAAACTTTATCTAGAATAATTGAATATTTACCAATTGGTTTTGAATGTCTTGTCAAATTTGTACGGCAGAAATTAAGTTTGGTATAACCTGGGACTTGGAGCTTTGCTCGCAGAGGTAGACGAACTCATTCAACAACTTTCATCATCCCACAGGTCACTTTGTGTCTCTGTAGGCTGACAGTAGGTGCTCTGTTGTCTGTCCGCAACCGCAGAGGCTGGGTGCACCAGTACAACAGAATAACCCCAAGGGTCTTGAGCGTTGTGTCGTCTTAGGCAGGTTCTTTGAGCCAGTTTATTTCAAATATATTATTTCTATGAAGGACTATAGCAGTTTACTTCACTAACATGCAAGTAACACAAGATGTAGTATCACTTTCGTTATTGTTTATAGATGTACTGTATTTATAAAGACTATATATATTCATTGTTGTTCTAGATAATAGTAAGTATTGTATTTACCACAATTCAAATTTCCTTATACTTACATTTATATCCATCAGCTGTGATTACAAACATATGATATAACTTTTCTTATTAAATAAACCTTTGCTTTTTATTTAATTTTGTGATCAATATTTTTAAACTTTCAGAACAGTTGCTGAGGTGATGCATTTGGTAAAGTTTAGCAAGGAACAAAAATATCTGCAAAGCTAATATAAGTGTGAACTTATCTGTAACTGTACAATCTCTTCTAGAAGGTGAGGTTCTACTATTCTTATATTTTTTTAAAAAACGTCAATCCTTTATGTTAATAACTTTTGTGTTAAAGTTATGAAGTAAACGTCTGTTGATTCATAGTTTTTTTTTTGTTCATTATATTATTGTGTGCGCTGAACCGTGGAGATCTCTAGGTCCCCGGTTCAATTTCCATCGCTGCCTCTCCTTGTGTTCAGCTAGAGGGCTGAAATACAAGTTACTAGCGCACAGTCTTTCGGATGAGATGTTTAAGCCGTTGGTCCCATGTGCGTTATGGCTCATATGCACGTTAAAGAACGCAGCACACTCTTCGGAAAAGAGTAGGGGATTGTCTCCCGGTGTACTGTCCAATCACCACCAGAAGGACCCCACTGGAAATAAGTCTTCTTCTAGACTTTCGTGGGCTATCCTTGGTGTTTACACCTCCAATCCAAATTACTAATAATTTAAATAACTTTTAAACCTGCAAGGTACTAGAAGATGCGAAAATTCAGAATGCAAAGTTAAATCCCTATTTCAATGAAAACTCAACAGTGCTTTTTAGGTTATAACTCAGCGAACTAATTTACAAGCATGGGATGTGTGTCCATATTTTCCCTCCCCCTCCACCTCCTTCCCCCTGCCCTACCACCAGCCTACGCAGTGAATTTACCTCAGGAGGAACAACTTGGGCTGGTTTAATTAAATTTAATAATTTCGTTTAGTGTTCACTGTGATCCATATGTGTTTGATCCAATGACCAGGGGTAATAATGTAAAGCGCTTAGAGGCTTTGTTAAGGCATTAAGCGCTATATAAGAACGACATATTATTATTATTATTATTTCTCCAAGCATATGCTGTTACTGTGGATCAAGAATATTATTAACATTTAGACTGACCTTTAACCACTACGTTAGTTCCAGTAATTTTGTAAATTATATTTATTGTAATTTGTAACATTACATTGTTTTAATTTATTATATATGTCATAGTTCTGTAAAACTGCAGAAACAATTTTTTAACTTGAACATGTCAGAAAAAATAAGGGAGAAGAACTACAGAGGTGAGGGAGGTACAAGAGAAGTAAATTAGAAAGTAAAAAAATGAAAATAATCAAATTAATACCCTACAAAGAATAAATGGAATGGACACTGATTGATGTTGAGTCATATTATATTTATTAGATGGATAGATATTGCAAATGACATACTTCAATCCAATTCACCTGTTTGTAGTTTACCTATGTTAGCAGGTGTTTCATTTTCTCTTGGTAGCAGAAGACAAAACTGTTTCATGAAAGTGCCTTTGTTTGAATCATTCATTCTTTATTTAGTAAAACATGTAAACAATTACAGTAAAAATGAAAGAACACAAAAGATAAGATCTTACAAATTGTACAAGCAATACATTTTACAATATTCTAAAGTAAAGACTGCAATAGTATTGATTGATTTAATTTCAGTTGTATTTGTCTCATAAATTATAACAAAAGAACAAAACCAATGAGACATGACTCCAAACAGTGAAAAAAAGAATCTCCTAACACTGAAAAAGCACTCATGAAAAAAACTGAAAAAAATAAATATTTAATATTTTATATTTTGTTAAAAATAATAATAGGATATTGTTGATGAATATTCTTTGTGTTAACCATAAGAAAAATATTCATTGCAAGATATTTTTTAAATGAGCTTAAATTGATTGATTTTTGATATAGTAATGGACAGTCTAGCTTTAACAAGATCAATTTCATCTTATGGAGTAATATATCACAATAATATAATTTAAACATTATTAATCAACTAAATGGGAAAACTAATGTCAAACTTTTCATTAAGAAGGGAAAAAATAATTAAAGCCTTCCAAATACATGACAGATCTCAATAATTAAATGCAGAGATCGATATTTTTTCCATTCCCCTATCCACTGATTTCGTTTTAGTAAAAATTAAATAATAAACATAATTACTAAAATTAAAATTAAAAATTCATGTGTGAACAATACACAAATATCTGAAATAAATAAATAAATTATTCAATCAATCTGTCATTTTTTTATTTTTTATTTATTCATAACAAATAAATAAAAAAATATTGTTTTTTACATGACATTTAAAAAGTAAATTGGCTTGGTGATGCCAATTAGAGTCTATTAATATGTAAAAAAAATACATATAGGCATAAATTTTTTTTTTTTTCCTCGACGAATTGTGGTCTTCCTCCCCAACAGGGGACCAAATATCTGCGACAGGGGACCCTGGCTCCCCCGGCCCTCCCCCCTGATAGCAACAGCTTCTGTTTGTAAATTATGTACCACTAAAAAATAGCAGAAAGCAAAATTTATTTTCGATTGATATCGTTTGTTATTAAGGTACTTGCTTTCAATCTCTATAGTCCTGTACATGAATTTTTTCTTAATCAATTCCACTCACAAAAACCAGTGGATAGCTATGGGTGCACAGGGTGCACACTTACTCCCCATCCCTCCCCACCTCCCTCCCTTCCAAAGAAAAGCTTGTGTCACGTGTCATCTTCCCCATTGAAAAAGCAAAATAAAATCACGCTCAAGTATTTTATAATCACCTCACCAGTGGTGTTGATCACCTTTTTTGTAAGCTAGTGCACCCTCACTTTATCTTAAAGGTCCTAATTTCATCTTTGCACCCCCATCAGCTATCCCCCCCTCCTCATTTCAAGCCTCCTAGTGTAGGCCATTGCCGAAAAGCTAGGCATAGTCCTGCCCTATTATCTTACTCTACAAGATATAACAATGTTAAATTTAGATTTTTGATAAAGTAGAACATTGTCCCATTTTCAACAGACATAAGAAAACAAACATTATGATAGATTGGTTATTCTGACTCAACTTTCTAAAGCTAGGCATACATTTGGAGATATTTCTGTTGAGACAGAATTTGACCAGACTTTGTCTAGTAAAGTAGTTGTCCTACATTCCACAGAAAGGAAAAAAGTCATGTACTATTCTATTTCTTTAATCATTTATCTTTGAGAAATATGATTTTATAATTAGACAAAAAAATGGTAGATGATTTGACTGGTAATTTTTATTAATTATAGATTGATTAATTGATTGATTGATTGATTAATCAATTGATTTTCAAGAATCAAGAATACTTTATTGTCATCAATCAAACATGTGAACATTGAAATCAAAAACTTGATCGCTATCTGTTTGCTTTTTAGATATATTTTGTGTAATTCAGAAATGATATTAACACAGATGTTTACATGTAATTCTAGTAATTCTTACTAGTAATTCAATATGCTAATTAATAATTCTGTTAGCTTCAATAATGATTTTCTGAATTTTACTTTTATCATATAATTATCCTTATTCTTGAATTCCATTGTTAGACATTCAGTGAATCTGACAGATTATTATAAATATTGAGATGGTAAACTTGGATTTAAAGTTAGTTTGACGATTTGTTTGTTAATTATTTATTGCAAGTTGTCTGCTTATTTAAAGCTAAAAACCTAACTTAAATACACAAAGAAACCAATATTGATATTTAAATATTGGTATTTAAATTTTTTTTTTACTTAAAGTCAATATTTACCTTGATCGGACTCTTTTTGCTCGTTACATAAATTTTATGTAATTTAAAAATGATGTTAACACAAATGTTACCTTAGGTTAATTATTTACATCGTAGTTTGATTTAAGTTATCGAGAAAGTAGGTTGCATACTGTAATTTACAAGGTTATCAATTATCGAGGTCTTGGTACTATTTACTTACATACTCCTATTGTTTGATTCAAGGTGTCTGACAATAGATTACATGAAACGTGCATCTGCTTTTTGATTGGTCAGTGAATATTATACAAAGAGATGATCATTAATTGTTACATTCAGACATTAGGAATGAGTTTTCATGTTAATTAGAGTGGCGTCAAAAAATTTGATACCATCTGCAGTCATTTGCTTTAACTGGTCATTTTGAGATTGAACTTGAGTGCGAAGTTAGTTCGGTTAATTTATTGGTTAATTAAGACTATTCGCATCATGTTTTATATATTGTGATTTATTAACTTGTGATATATTAATGAATAAATATGTGAGTCAATTGACGAGAGGTTAGGGCTGAGGCGGCACAACCTGCAGCCATAATATCGGCTTTGTTTCAATCAGCACACTTTACCTATATTTCTAGTGGTGGAATAAGTCTTCTCAGATAAGGACTATAAACTCTAGGTCCTGCAGTGTACACAATAGGCTTGTGTACAGTAAGATATTTGAGACAATTAGGGGGTACCCTGAAGTACTGGTCCAGACAGCCCCTGTGGTAAACAGACAAGAGCAATCTGCACAGATGGTCTGTCTCTTTTTCGAAGCCCTTTCAATGGGAAATTCTTGCACAGTGTTTGTTACAAATTTAAATATTGGAACGAAAAGTATTATGTTGTCGCTGTAATCTATTCTATAGACTTTGAATATGACATGTGCACTGGGGTGGAGGAATAAAATGAATGGCATAGCGGTTAAGGCAGGGGCACCATAACCATAATCAACAATACCTGCACAGGTTTTCAGCTGGCTTGGTCCTAGTTCTGGTGATGGAACAAGTCTTCTTGGATAAGGACTATAAACCATGGCCCAGCGTACACAAATGCTCATGTGCACTTCAAAGAACTTTTCCAAGACAGATAGGGGGGTTACCCTGGTGTACTGGTCCACTCGGCTCCTGTCATGGACAGATGGACAGATGAAGGTGCCCCTCAGGGGAGGAGAAAGTTATTGAAAAGTGCAGCATCTAGTCCACTCCGCCATGAGCAATAACTTTTAGAATGGCGCCATACAAATGGAACGGTTTGATTTAAAAAACAATTTTTTTTTTTATTCATTGGTGCCCTTTTAAGAAATCCACTCCTTATTTGTATATGTTCACAAGGATATTACAGCTCCATATAAATAGATCTAGGACTTAATGGTCCCACTGGTTTAGAAAACAAACAGCGGTTACTATCCATATTTAACCAACTGTGCTCTCATATGAGA